TCTTAAAACTCTTGTTGGCTCATAAAGGGAGATGCATTCGTATAGGTAAGTTGAACCAGAACTGTTTAGGGCTTTACAGGCCAAAGCCAGCACTTTGAATTGTATCCAGTAGCAAACTGGCAAACCGGAGGGGGGGGGGGATGGTACGCTCCCTATATGCCACTCCAGTAAGAAATCTGGCTGCTGCCCGGTGGACTATTTGGAGCTTCCGGACAGCCTTCAGAGGCAACCCCATGTAGACTGCATTGCAGTATTCAAGATGTAACAAGAGTGTGGACTACCATAGCCAAGACTTGCTTCCCAAGGTACAGGCACAACTGGCGCACAAGATACGGTCTAATACTGTAGGTGGTCCATGGGAGTGGCAACCTGAGTTACCATACTGGTGACACCATTTGCACAAATCTTTTCCCTAGTAGAAGACTAATGACAATTGATGTAAACAAAGCAATGCTTATACAAAGGACAGTCATAATTCAGCACAGCTGTCTTCCTTGGAAGCCAATATTGAAGTCCTTCAAATCTAGAGCTTTCTAATTCTTTCCAATGCCTAGAGCAGTGGTTCTCAACCTGTGGGTTCCCAGATGTTTTGGCCTTCAACTCCCAGAAATCCTAACAACTGGTAATCTGGCTGGGATTTCTGAGAGTTGTAGACCAAAATACTTGGAGACCCACAGGTTGAGAACCACTGGCTTAGGGCAAAAAATCTTTTTTGCAGAATTACATACAAAATACCAATAAAATGCCTCTTCTTTTAGGATTGCATATTGCACTAAACCTTAAACAGAAAAGTGTTTTAATTTATGTTGACATTTGTCATCCTTAACATAATGTACTAAGGAGTAATTCCCACAGAGTTTTGTTGAACTAACCTCAGATTAAACAGACTTATACTTCAAATTTACAGGGGATTTTTTTAATAAGGAGACATTGGGAAAAATTGGTCAGCTGGAAGAGATTATGGCACTATTTGTAATACACAACATGTTGTTGTGCTGCTGAAGTGAACCCATCAATCAGTGGCTTTGATAGCAGTCAAAACATTATTTTCCAACATTATTAGATCAGAGGCCCTGCCCTTTCACTTAGAATTGGAAAATGGTATCACTGACATTTATTTTCTATGTCCTTACTTGCTTGCTGGAAATTGGAGAGTTATGCCTTTCAATAATATAATTATTGCAAAAAAAAAAAAGTAGCCTCTAGGGTGTAAAATTTGCTCTGTGCCATTGAATCCAATATGGTATTTTAGAAACCCTGCCTATTTAAATCATAACTATTGCCAAATCCTAATCAAGACTTTCCCCAAATGCTTTTACTTTCCACAATACCTTGTGTGTTGTTTTGCAACATGTGTTATAGAACCCACAACCTTCCAGTTTTGGAATGAACAGTGTATGCACTCAGCTTCACATCACATATATTTCATGACCTTCCAAAGAATTAGACTTTAAAAATATGTATCTGGTTTAAAGTTATTGAAGGATTCTCCTGATATTTATTTCCTAAGAGGGACAGAAAGTAAAGCATTTCTGTTTCAAATGAAAAGCCTCTCTTTTTCTACCAAGCACACTTAGTGAAACATTATGTAAATGCAATGCAAGATTGAACCGTAAACAATGACTGTGTTTCTTGGCCATCATAAATCACTCCCCTAACTGCTGCGTGGTAAAATATCTGTACCTTTAATAATTACAGTACTGTGAAGCTGCCTGGAAGTAATCTCTGTGCAGAGCATCTTTTGGAAAGGCTGCTCAGAAAGGTCTAATCTCATTTCAGGGTGAGCAGCTATGGTTGGTGGGTGAAGAAAACCAGTGGCAGTCAATGGCTTCCATGTGGATGGGGTGACAAATCCACTCTGGCTTTCGGTCTGAACTTTAAAGGAGACATCCAATTCATCAAACCTATAGGGTGTTTCAAAAAGACAGAGCCAATTTGAAATCATGATATTTCTGTAACCATGAACTACCCATGAATTTCAAATGAGTTTCAAATGATTACCATTAGATGCCTCTTCCAGTGCACAAACAGCCCATAGTCATTTCCAAGATGGCAAATGTGCATCATTGGACGTCATGGGATATTCTACATTTACAGTTATTTTTAAAGATTTATTTCCGGCCCAAAATGGTTAGTAGAACTCATTAATCCATCTATAACTTTTTGTGTAATGGTAACATGTTGCCCTCTTGAAATAGACTGCTTTGAAATTGGGCCCATCATTTCAAAACACCCTGTATTTTATGGATAGTGTTCAGCACCTCGGATAGCTCCTTGTTAATTCATATTACAAACTAGAATAGAATCAGGCTGGATCCACACTGCCACATTTCAGTTTCAGGATACAGATGAATGGCGTTGAACTGGATGATATGGCAATGTTAATCATATAGTCCAGTTCAATGAAGATAATCTGCATTATATGGCAGCCTCAGACTTCCACTGACAAGCAATCTAGTGAATACTGGCCTGGGGATGTTACATTTTTTTCTCTTTTTTGGAGATACATCTTTCAGCATCCTCCAAGCAACAGGGCTGTCTCTGGAAATCTGTCTCCACTTCAGTTTGCAGGTGGGAACACCCATCCTTTCGAAATCCTAATCTGTTCTAAATGTTGAGCTCTTGAAGGCGCTCCTCGTCCTCCACGCGCCATCTAGTGGCCCAAAAGTGGAATAATTTTGCAGCTTGGACAAAAAAAAAGTGAAGGATGGAAAGGAGGAAAAGAAATTTGAGAGAGAGAGAGAGAGAGAGAGAGACTGAGAGGAAGGGGAAAGGGAGAAACCCAACCTCCCAAGGAGCATCAGGCGATTGAGGCCCCTTCTACACAGCTGTATAAAATTCACATTAAACTGGAGTATATGGCAGTGTTGACTCAGATAACCCAGTTCAAAGCAGATATTCTGGATTATCTGCCTTGATATTCTGGGTTATATGGCTGTGTGGAAGGGCCTTTAGACAGGAGCTGTTCCCATGGAGCAGGCCTTTGGGGGTGAAAGGGGGAGGGATGCTCATTGTATAATTAAGGGCTCTTCTATTTGAGTACACACTGCCATATATTCCAGTTCAAAGCAGATATTGTGGGATTTTCTGCCTTGATATTCTGGGTCATATGGCTGTGTGGAAGAACTCTCAGACAGGAGCTGCTCCCATGGATCAGTCCTTTGGGAGTGAAAGGGGGAGGGAGGCTGGGCCTCTTCTACACAGCTGAATAAAACTCCACATTATCAGGTTTGGACTGGGTTATAAAGCAGTGTGGGCTCAGGGCCCTTCCACACAGCCCTATTTCCCAGAATATCAAGGCAGAAAACCCCACAATATCTGCCTTGAACTGGGTTATCTAAATCCACACTCCTTCCTGGCAGGCCCTTTACCTCAGGATCTGAGCCCACATTTTCTGGTTTACACTGGATTATATGAGTCTGCACTGCCAGATAATCTGGGATAAACAGAAAAACTGGGATCAGACCCTGGGATATAGACCTGTCTGGAAGGGGCCTCAGAAAATGTGGGATTTCCTGCCTTGATAGTCTGGAATATAGGGCTGAATATTCTCTATATCCCAGAATATCAAGGCAGGGAATCCCACATTATCAGAGTGTGGATGCAGATAACCCAGTTCAGAGCAGATATTGTGGGACTGGGTTGTTGTAGGTTTTTTCGGGCTATAGGGCCATGTTCTAGAGGCATTTCTCCTGACATTTCGCCTGCATCTATGGCAAGCATCCTCAGAGGTAGTGAGGTCTGTTGGAAATAGAAAAATGGGTTTATATATCTGTGGAATGACCAGGGTGGGACAAAGGACTCTTGTCTGCTGGTCAGTTGAAACATTCACACCTAGCTCCAGCACACAAGAGTCCTTTGTCCCACCCTGGTCATTCCACAGATATATAAACCCTTTTTCCTAGTTCCAACAGACCTCACTACCTCTGAGGATGCTTGCCATAGATGCAGGCGAAATGTCGGGAGAGAATGCCTCTAGACCATGGCCATATAGCCCAAAAAAACCTACAACAACCCAGTGATTCCGGACATGAAAGCCTACGAAAACATAATGTGGGATTTTCTGCCTTGATATTCTGGGATATAGGGCTGTGTGGAAGGGCCCTCAGATAACTGAGGGCCCTTCCATATAATTTAGAATATCAAGGCAGAAAATCCCACAATATCTGCTTGAACTGGGTTATTTGCATCCACACTGCCATATATTCCAGTTCAAAGCAGAAAATGTGGGATTTTATTCAGCGGTGTGGAAGGGACCTCAGTTCAAAACAAATATTGTGGGATATTATGGGTTATATGGCTGAGTGGAAGGGCCTGGGGGAGCAATTTGTTTAACCCCCACCACCACACACACACACACAAATGGAGGGAGAGAGTCGTACAAAGTTTCAGAAAAGCTATGTCTGATGTATTGTCGAAGGCTTTCATGGCCGGAATCACTGGGTTGTTGTAGGTTTTTTCGGGCTGTATGGCCATGGTCTAGAGGCATTCTCTCCTGACATTTCGCCTGCATCTATGGCAAGCATCCTCAGAGGTAGTGAGGTCTGTTGGAACTAGGAAAAAGGGTTTGTGTGGTTTTATCTTGTCGTAATATCCCTTGCGTGTCTACAGGGAAGAAAAAAGCTCTCTAAGACCCCAAAGGTGGGTGGGTGTGTGTGTGAGAGAGAGAAAGAGGGAGTGTGTAAACTGTGTGTGTGTAAAGGAGGGAGAGAGAGAGATGCGGCGGAGGATGAGGTAAAGCCCCTCGCGCGCGCCTTCTAAGCCCCCCCCCCCCCCGTTTCCCGCGCGCGCTCTCTCTCTCGCTTTCTGTTTCCCACGCGCTGTCCGTCCGTCCCTTCGCGCGGACTCCCTGAAAGCAGTGTTGGTTGGTTGAGGCTCCCATTTGGAATTCTCTCTGTCCCGCTTCATCCCCTTCTTGGCCTCGCGCCTTCCGTGACAGGCGGCGAAGAGCCCTAACCTGCTGCTGCTGCGGAGGAGGAAGAAGAAGGAGAGGAAGAGAGAGAGAGGGAGTGGGATTGATTGGCCGCCTCTTCTCCTTCTTCTTCTTCTTCTTCGCCGCAGCCTCGGCAGAAAGAGCAGCCGCGTCGCCCCTCGCCCGTCTTCAGCGAGGCGGCATGGAGAGGCGGCTGAAAGAGGAGGAGGAGGAAGAGCGGCGAGGACAGCGGAGGAGACGCCTGCCTGACTGACTTGACAGACTGACTGACTGACTGGAAAGAGCCGGGCTGCTGAGGAAGAGCAAGGGGGCGAGGAGGAGGAGGAGGAGGAAGAAGAAGGGGCTGCATTGAGAGCCTCCCTCTTTCCCTGCCTCCCTCCTGCCTTTCCCTGCCTGCCTGCCTTCCTCCCCGCTGAACTTGTTGCTGCTGAGGGGAGAAGGCTGCCCAGGAAGAAGAGCCCTCCACAGCGGCTTCTCTCACCTCCCCACCCACTCCATGCCAACTCCTCTGGACAGACTTTGCCAGGTGAGGCGACTGCATGGGGGGGGGGGAAGGGGGGTGAGGGTGGCGCAAAGGTTTGAGGTGGAGACGGGGAGGGCAAGGGCTGCCCCTTTAAGGCAAAGGGAGCCCCCCCTCCCGACGCCATTCCCGCCCCTCTCAGGGGAAGAGAAACATCTGGGAAGGCAACCTAATCGACACACACATACACACCCCTCCCAATTGGAATGCTTTATAAAGCTTCAGGAAGCAGCATCAAGTGGCGAGGGCGGGAAAGGAGAAATTGGGGAGGGGAGTGAGGCGAGGCGCGTGTTGCCTGAGAGCGGGTAGGGCTGGGCTCGGCTCTGGACCCGCATTTCTTTTTCACGTGAGGACCCCGCCCCCGTCATCTTCCAGTCGCATCGCGCTGTCAGGCTCCCCGACGAACTTCCCCGCTTAAGCTCTCCTCTGCCTGCCCTCCGTTTTCCATGTGGCTCATAATCTCCTGCGACGATTGGCCTCCTCTTGATCCCTTTTGCGCCGGAAATACAGCCACTCTCCCTCGCTCCCTTCTCTCACACATCCTTGAGCTCGCCTTACTCCCAAGCCACCTTGTTGACCTCTGCTCAACTTTGCCCCGAGTCAGTTTAAGGCAGGCACGGGGAAGCTTCGGCCCTCCAAGTGTTTTGGTGGACTTCAACTCTCACAATTCCTAACCTCTGGTAACAAGGACATCTAACACCTCCCAGCAAAGGATTTCTCCCAGGCAGCAACCAGCCAGGCTTTGAAGCTACCAGGCCATTCAATGCTAATCAAGGGGAGTCCTTTGGCCACTCTCCCCCTCTCCCTTCTCTCACACATCCTTAAGGTCGCCCTACTCCCAAGGCACCTTGTTGACCTTTGGTCAACTTTGCCCAGAGTCAGTCTAAGGCAGGCACAGACAAACTTTGGCCCTCCAGGTGTTTTTAGATTTCAACTCTCACAATTCCTAACAGCGGGTAACAGGGCCAGCTAAAACCTCCTAACAAAGGATCCCCAGGCAGCAACCATACAGGCTTTGAAACTACAAGGCCATTCAGTGCTAACCAAGGGGAGTCCATAGGCCAGGCACAGGCAAATTTTGGCCCTCCAGGTGTTTTGGACTTCAACTCTCACACTTTCTAACAGCCGGTAACAAGGGCCAGCTAAAACCTCCTAACAAAGGGTCCCCCAGGCAGCAACCAGGCAGGCTTTGAAGGTACAAGGCCATTCAATGCTAATTAAGGGGAGTCCCTAGGCCAGGCATGGGCAAACTTTGGCCCTCCAGGTGTTTTGGATTTCAACTCTCACACTTTCTAACAGCCAGTAACAAGGACAGCTAACACCTCCCCCCAAGCAGCAAACAGGCAGGCTTTGAAGGTACAAGGCCATTCAATGCTAATTAAGGGGAGTCCCTAGGCCAGGCATGGGCAAACTTTGGCCCTCCAGGTGTTTTGGATTTCAACTTTCACAATTCCTAACAGTGGGTGCCAGGGCAAGCTAAAACCTCCTAACAAAGGATCCCCAGGCAGCAACCATACAGGCTTTGAAACTACAAGGCCATTCAGTGCTAACCAAGGGGAGTCCATAGGCCAGGCACAGGCAAATTTTGGCCCTCCAGGTGTTTTGGATTCCAACTCTCACAATTCCTAACAGCAGGTAACAGGGCCAGTTAAAACCTCCTAACAAATGATCCCCAGGCAGCAACCAGACAGGCTTTGAAGCTACTAGGCCATCAAATGCTAATCAAGGTGGCCAATTGCAACATTCTCACTTGCCTCAAGCAGAGAAGAGTTTTTTCTCCCACTCTGGACATTCCATAGATATATAAAACTCACTTGCATAGTTTACAACAGACCTCACAACCTCTGAGGATGCCTGCCACAGATGTGGGTGAAACGTGAGGGGAGAATGTTTCTGGAACATGGCCATACAGCCCAGAAAATTTAGAGCAACCCAAGAATTGTGAGAGTTGGAGTCCAAAACACCTGGAAGGCTGATGTTTGCCATGCCTGGTCTAAGACTCCCCCTTCACTCTCAGCCACTCCCCTTTCAACCCTAGTAGACACCTTTTTCAGACTTCCTTCTTTTCCCACTTCCTCACCACAGCACCCTAGAAGGGTCCTAGAACCATAGAATAATAGAGTTGGAAAAGACCACTTGGACCATCTAGTCCAACCTCCTGCCATGCAGGAAAAGCACAATTAAAGTATCCCAGAGAGATGGCCATCCAGCCTCTGTTTAAAAGTTTCCAAGAAAGGAGCTTCTGCCACACTCCAAGGCAGAGAGTTCCACTGTTGAAGAGCTCCTAAAGTCAGGAAGTTCTTCCTAATGTTCAGGTGGAATCTCCTCTCCTGTAATTTGAACACATCATTCCTAGTCCCAGTTTCAAGGGCAGCCGAAAACAAGTCTTCTCTCTCTCTTCCTTATGACACCCTTCACATATTTATATATGGTTATCACGACTCCCAGTGGTGCAGTGGGTTAAACTGCTGAGCTACTGAACTTGCTGACCAAAAGGTTGATGGTTTGAATCTGGGGAGCAGGGTGAGCTCCTGCTGTTAGCCCTAGCTTCTTCCAATCTAGCAGTTCAAAAACATGCAAATGTGAGTAGATCAATAGGTACCACTTCAGCTGGAAGATAACGGTGCTCCATGCAGTCATGCCAGCCACATGACCTTGGAGGCATCTGCGGACAACACTGGCTCTTTGTCTTTGAAATTGAGATGAGCACCACCCAGCAGAGTTGGACATGACTAGACTTAAACATACCTAGTTCTTTAAGATGCTCCTCATATGACATGGTCTCCAGACCTTTGATCATTTTAGTCACCTTCCTCTGAACAAGTGTTAGATCATGCCTCTGTTTCCAGAGGATCCAATATCATTCTCTTCCCATCTCCTCCATTCTTTCTCCTTAAACGTGAAATGTCATTTAGCCACTCCCTCCTTTTATCCCAGTTTCTTCTGTGTTTTAGGGCATGTGTAGAAGAGCTCCTAGAGAGGTCATTCCAAAAGCCTACCCTTCATCTACAAAAAAGGTCTCCACAGTGCTTACCAAATCTATCTTAAGTTCTAACCATTGGGACATATTTTTGTGGTAAATCATCTCTTCCAAAATGATATTTTACATCAACTTCTTCTGACATTCTGTGTAGTATTTTAGAGGGCTGAAAAAGCTGTCACAAGAAGAAGGGTTTGGGAAAACCCACTTCAACTAATATGGCTGCAAACACATGCACTTGAATCCAACCATTTAAATAAATTATGAATTATGTTTATTATTCATGTGGGACAATAACTGTACATGGTGTATTACTGAGTAAGAAACTAACTAACTGTAAAATGGGTGTGTGTGTATCTCAAAGAGCTGCACCCTGCACAAGAAATGAGGAAGAATGCAAGATGTAAGGGTCCTATTAGATCATGGCCTCTGTTTCCAGGAATCCAATGTCATTCTCTTTCCATCTTCCTCATTCTTTTCCCTCCTAAACATCACTTCCAAATTTTCTTTCTGCCTGATCTTTAAAGAAGCTCCTACCATCTCTGTTTCTTCTATTTCATTTGATATGACCATGGACTCCACTGTTGAAGGTTGGCCCTCTTTGGAGAGATTGGATGGCCTCTTTTGGAGAGATTGGATGGCCATCTGTCCAGGGTGCTTTGGTTGTGTTTTTCCTGCATGGCAGGGGTTTGGGCTAGATGGTCCATGTGGTCTCTTCCAACTTTAGGATTCTATGAATGAATGAAATTAAATAACAATCATAACACAAAATATAATTATGTTACTAAGTCTCCCTTCCACTACTTATTTTGTTTCCACAATTTGGCTCTGACAGACATCAAGCAAAATTTTGACTCCTCTGCTCCAGGTTTCAGAAGTGGCTTTTCCCTTGTGAATGAATTGAGATATATATCCCTTTGATCTATCTATATTTATATCTGTATCCACAGTATATGTATCCCTTTTAATGTTTTTTAATTATTTTATCTTTCCTAAGGAGGTTAGACTTCCCCCGCAAACACCATCTTCATCTAACTACCCACCTGTTTGTTTAGAAGGATGCTGTTTGTCAGTACCATTTTCATGTGTCTCTGTGCATTAAATCTGTTTTTTTCCTAATGTTAGAGGGCAGTCATTATCCATCTGCCCTGTTTCCTTAGAACAGGAATAGTCTGAAGATGGTAAGTGGTTGTTATGATGAGATATCATTGATCAGGATGAAGGGAATCAGCTGTTTTATTCAGGAGGGATATATTCTTCACACCTCCTTTCTAAACTTGCTGAAATGGGGAGAAAATCAGCAAGTGTTTCTCCAGCAGTACTAGTGGACAGATTTACTCAAGGCAACTCTGATTTTTGTCTTTCCTCTTACCTCATTTCCTGGCCAGCTGTTGTAGGACTATGTGGGAGGCAATCTGAGTTGGTATTTTAAACACAGTTCCCAGAATCAGTCTGGAACAGAAAACTTCCTAGCCAGAAGTTGTGCCTTTCAACCGTCAGACTTGCTTCTTACTGCTTACCTGACCTGACAGGCTGCTGATTAACTATTGGAGACTATTGCTCTGCATTGCTACATTTGGATCTTTCCTTATTGCCACCAACTATTGAGAAAGGATGCACTTTATATAAGAAGGAGAAGAGTATGTGACAAATGTTCATAGACTCTTAGAATATTAATTCAAATCTTCTTAAGTAATATGAATGAAAGAGAGAGCAGTGAAAGGTTGAGGAAGATAACACAACATGAACAGAGAAAAATGAGCAAGATTTTTTTATTATTTTGAAACAATTGATGTCCTAACCTCTTGATATATTTGTTTTTAGTTTTAGTAGAAGCAAGAGCAATACCACTAAGCAGCTGAGACAATGGCGGCTGGAGTGGCAGCATGGTTGCCTTTTGCTCGGGCAGCAGCCATAGGATGGATGCCAGTGGCCACAAGCCCAATGCCGAATGCCCCCCGACAGGAGAGAAAGCGGAGCCAGGACTCCCTCATTATACTGAATGTGAGTGGCACCCAGTTCCAGACCTGGCTGGATACCCTGGAACGCTATCCAGACACGCTGCTGGGCAGTTCAGAGCGGGATTTCTTCTACCACCCAGAGACACAGCAATACTTTTTCGACCGGGACCCTGACATCTTCCGACACATCCTCAATTTTTATCGAACAGGGAAGCTCCATTATCCCCGTCAAGAATGCATTTCAGCCTATGATGAGGAGTTAGCCTTCTTTGGTATTATCCCTGAGATCATTGGCGATTGCTGTTATGAGGAATACAAGGATCGGCGACGGGAAAATGCTGAACGTCTGCAGGATGATGCTGATCAGGATAATGCTGGTGAATGCAATCTGCCCTCCATGACAGCTCGGGAAAGGATGTGGCGGGCCTTTGAGAATCCACACACCAGCACACTGGCCCTGGTCTTTTACTATGTAACAGGCTTCTTCATTGCAGTTTCTGTCATTGCCAACGTGGTGGAGACAGTACCCTGTGGGGTAAGTCCTGGTGCCATCAAGGAGCTGTCCTGTGGAGAGCGCTATGATGTAGCTTTCTTCTGCCTGGATACAGCGTGTGTCATGATCTTCACGGTTGAATACCTGTTGCGTCTGGTGGCTGCTCCCAGTCGTTACAAATTTGCGCGTAGTGTCATGAGCATCATTGATGTTGTGGCCATTATGCCCTATTACATTGGTCTTGTCATGACCAACAATGAGGATGTCAGTGGGGCCTTTGTAACACTGCGTGTCTTCCGGGTCTTCCGAATCTTTAAGTTTTCCCGCCACTCACAGGGTTTGCGCATCCTGGGCTACACTCTGAAAAGCTGTGCATCAGAGCTTGGCTTTCTCCTGTTTTCTCTCACTATGGCCATCATAATCTTTGCTACAGTCATGTTCTATGCTGAGAAAGGCTCAACATCCAGCAAATTCACCAGCATTCCTGCTGCTTTCTGGTATACCATTGTCACTATGACCACTCTAGGGTAAGTCTGTATGAAGTTTCATTTTTGGCTGGCCAATAGCTAACAGCTGGGTTGTGTTTTTATAGGTTTTAAAAGTGTGGTGTAGAAAGTGATGACACCCACTTATCTCTTGATCAAAGAAGTGTTCACAGTCTGTAATGCTGATACATAGAAATACACCACTTCTGAATTGATCTAAAGTATTGCAGTATGGCAATAATGGGAAGATCTCTGTCGATTGCTCTAATTTTCACATTTTAATTTGCTCACATAATTAGACTACAGCATTAACCTTTCAATGTAGTACCACCTGTTTTCCTTTCATTGCTAGAATAAAAAAAGAAGTGACATGTGCTCTGCGATGACATGAGTTCAGATATTATGATTTTGCTCTCCTTTGCCCTGTATATCAAGATAATATTTGTTATTGTATTGTAGTTTATGTACAAACTTTGCTTGACTTTTGGGGTGCGGGGGTTGCCAATGCAGTACTCACAACTGTCATGATTGCTATAAATTTAAATGCATCTCTCTTAACATTAGCATCTCAAAATGAGATGTTATGATATTGTGCAAATGTTACTTTTCATAATGTTTATGAAATATTATTCTAATTATAAATACAAACTGCTGATGAGTTTGAAAATATCACAATTAGCATTTAAATGTCCTGTCATGTTGAAATGTATGTGGAAAGGATACTAATTTATCAAGAGGATGAATAGCTAGTGTTATGATATGTTTCTGAAGATAGAGTCATGCAACTGTATTTGCTTAAGGAAGAATATTATGCAGCACAAGATAAGTTTAAATGGAAGTGTAAATGGAAAGACATTGTAGTTAAACTTTAATGTCCTCTTGAAATCAATGATGCTGATTTGGCCTGAGGAGGTAAGTTAATTTAAGAAACATATTTGTCATTTTAATCAAAGGCCTTGGAATAATGTATTCAAAGAAAATACCCTATTCATTTCAATATAGTAACTCATAATGAAATATTAAAAATATTTACAATATTTTGACATTGATGAAAACTGGTAAGCTAAAATCTATGACCAACAAAGCCAATAATTCATTTTATTTATTAAAAATTTTTTAAAGATAAGCTCCCTCTGTATCAAAAGAGAGAATGACAGATTGCACAAAAATCACAACTTGAACAGCACATCTCAATACATAAAACATGAGAAAAGCATTAAAAGAAAATGGAAGGGAACATTTTGACATCAAATTAGTTATTTATTGATTGAAATTAAAAGAGGATATTATGGGAGCAAATTCTGAATAGTGAGAAAACACTATTTCAGGAGAGTAATTTGTGTTTTGGCAGTATATAGTGAAATGGAGTTACTGGGAAGAAACATCTGTCTTTTCCATGCTGTTGGAAAGAGAGTTGTCTTATTGCTATCCATTCTAATGTAGTTTTAGATGCAGGACAAATATATCTAATTAAACCTGATTGCTTTCTGTTGGAGATGTAAGAATGCACTTAACGGCATCATTGAAATCAATGGCATGGAAAAATACTTAACTATGGATTGACTATAAACTAGTCTGAAACTAGAAGTAATGGTGGCAGAACCACTTTTTAAAGCATACCAGTCAGGATAGAGCTAACGTGCGAATGTCACAAGGTTGATGGTAAGAGTAAAAGGAATGCCCTGGCAAGGATTATTGAGCATGAGTATTAATCTGCCTTGAGACCAGTCACTACCATTTCAGTATTTTTCTGGTTTTGGGGGCTTGGGGAGGGGCAGTATCTTGATATAATCTAAAGGAAGGAGATAGGTAGCAGACACTTCTTTTTCATTCCTATTTTCTCTTACAATTATAACCCTTCACACTATTTTGAGGTAATTTAGGGGCATGCCTACAGGCAGTCCCTGAATTATGAACAAGATAGGTTCTGTAGGTTTGTTCTTAAATTGAATTTGTATGTAAGTGCAGGTGTAACTCCAGCTGGACAAAATTAGTTTTGGATAACATAGGGAAGGGTTAACATCCCTAAAATGTTTATTTTACTGTTTATGTCCATGTTCAGAAGATTTCATCTTACTTTCTGTCTCTGTGACAACTTGTTTTTCAAAATGTTGGATTGTTGTGGAAACAAAGATTGGTGATAACGTTTCAGTGGCTACATCTTTCCCTCATAACAACTCTTCCAGGAGTTTATTTCTCTTCCTAGGAGTACATTTCCTCCCACTTCCTGTTGTCTCGCCCTTGTTTGTAACTAAGAGGTGTATATAACTAAGATGTTTGTAACTCAGAAATTGCCTATATAGTGAAAGTGGGAGAATCCTATCTTGAAAGTGCTATAACCATCCTGTAATTAAATGGTATTGAAAGTTTGGAATTAAAATGTTAAAATGGGAAAAATCTACTTTCTCACTAATTACACTATTAATTGTAGAGTTAGAGGAAAAGATTGTTCATAAGATAGCATACAGCATTGAGGTAACGTTTATAGTAGTACCTAGTTGGAAACTTTTCAGGCTCACATTGCACATAAGAAACATTAAGAAGACTGCAGGACTCTCTGGTTGTCCTTGTCCATGGTACTGAAAAGAACACAAATTTTCATTTCTTTGTTTTGGAGTTTGTTAATCCAAGGTGAAAGTAAATTCTCCATCCTCTTCCTTTTCTTCTTATGTTTGTTTGAATTATAGCATCAATGCTGCTACCGGTAAAGGGGGACAAACATAAGTAATATCAATTTAGCTTCTTAAATGGGCAGACAGTGATACAGTCTGTGGCAAAGTGTTAACATTTTTGTGCATTGTCTTTAAAGTAGCTTTAGTAAGTTTTCCTCCTCTACTATGTGCCCTCTTCCATTTCCCAGTTATACTATACACCTTATTAATGCTCTCAGTAAAAAGGGGAATTGCTAATACCAAGATGAACATTAATGTTAAAGCTGGCTTGAAGGTGCTGACAAAGAAGCACTTAAAACACTGCAAGTAATGAATTTTCCTATGATATTTTATTACACATGTCAGCAGATTAACAGATTCAATTTGTCTTTCTATATAATATCTGTTACCTGTATAAAATTTGTGGCTGAAATGTCATGCAATAACAAAAAAAAAAATCCTAGCACTACCTCCCTATTTATTTCTGGTCTTATGTTCTTTTGGGACAAGGCCAAGCAAGGACAGAAAAGAATGAACTTTTTAAAAGTTCTCACAGATGTTGATTTTTTAATGAGTATTCAGTTGTCCACTTATACACAGATAGTATTGCTTTCAATGTATATAGCTTTTCTGAAGCCTTAATAAGGATTTTTAATGGTACTCTTTAAGCAACTAAATATCATTAAAGCAAAACATAGTGCTATAATATGGGACATTGTTAAAGAACTCCTATTCTGTGTAATAACAGCTCACCAGGGTCCCCTCTACACTGCAATGTAACCCAGATTATCAAAGCAGATAATCCACATTATCTGCATTGAACTGGATTATATGAGTCTACACTGCCATGTAATCCAGTTCAAAGTAGATAATCTCAATGTTACATGGTAGTGTAGTAGGTGCCCAAATTATCTGGTATGCTATAAAACCATATGTGGGTTGAAAATAAGTAAAGAACAGACTTTCTACATGTCACAGCTAGGTGTGATTCCTAATTTTCTTTGAGACAGCAAGGATACTGAATGACAGTCACACTTATATCAAAAGTTATAACAATGGAAACAAAGCCATATTTTCCCATCCTGTGTGACTGCTAGGTAAGTAAACAGTTGTCTGAAAATGCAAGACAAGACAGTATGCATGCCTTTGTACTCATAAATAGTAACTACCTCTCTTATTAGATACTATTAACAAGCAAGAACATATCACTTTATGATGCTCTAAATCAGGGGTCCCCAAACTACGGCCCACAGGCCGCATGCGGCCCGCCAAGGGCCTTTATCCGGCCCGCGCGGCCTGTCCTGGCCTATCCAAAGCCCCTCGCCGCGCGGCCCGTCCAAAGCCCCTCGCCGGCGTCAATGGCGTCTGCTCTGCTGCGCTTCTCCCTCCACACAGGATGGAGAAGCCTGTGGAGGGAAAAGCGCTCTCTGCTCTCCCGCGGAGAACAGAGAGAGAAGCAGAGCGGACGCCATTCCTCTGTAACAGAAAATCCCTGGTGGCGAGGAAGGCGTCCGAAAATGGTGGAGGCAGAGCCGGGTGGGCGTGGCCAGGCTTCTGGGCCAGGGAAGCCAGCATCGCTTGGCCACGCCCACCCGCGCCGCCTCCACCATTCTCGCCACCAGGGATCTTCTGTGGTAGAGCAATGGCTCCGCTCTGCTGTGCTTCTCCCTCCACAGGCTTCTCCATCCCATGTGGGAAGGAGAAGCCTGTGAAGGGAGAAGCGCAGCAGAGCGGATGCCATTCCTCTGTAAGAGACGATCGCTGGTGGCAAGGAAGGCGTGCGCAAATGGTGGAGGCGGCGCCGGGTGGGCGTGGCCACATCGCTTGGCCACGCCCCCCCGGCGCCGCCTCCACCATTTGCGGACGCCTTCCTCGCCACCAGGGATCGTCTCTTACAGAGGAATGGCGTCCGCTCTGCTGCGCTCTCTGTTCTCTGCGGGAGAGCAGAGAGCGCTTCTCCCTCCACAGGCTTCTCCATCCCGCGCTGCTCTGGAAAGGTTTGGCCCAATTCTATTGTTGATGAGGTTCAGAATGCTCTGTGATTGTAGGTGAACTACAAATCCCAGCAACTACAACTCGCAAATGTCAAGATTCTATTTCCCCCATACTCCACAAGTGTTCCCATTTGGGCATATGGAATATCAGTGCCAAGTTTGGTCCAGATCTATCATTGAGTCCACAGTGATTGATGGAGGCAGGTGAACTACAACTCCAAAACCAAAGGACACTGCCCACCAAACCCTTCCAGTATTTTCTGTTGGTCATGGGAGAACTGTGTGCCAAGTTTGGTTCAATCCCATCGTTGATGGGGTTCAGAATGCTCTTTGATTGTAGGTGAACTATAAATCCCAGCAACTACAACTCCCAAATGTCAAGATTCTATTTTCCCCC